AGGTACAAATATACTTGATTTTTGTATGGTGGAGGTGGCCGATCTAATCTGTCGTAGTGCGAAAACCGTTGCTCTCTATGCTAGCCACTCGATAGACTGCCAATTCTTGCTCGTTAGCACAAACACCGCCTTGCCCTAAATTACCTCTAAAACATATCTAAATAGCGCCCTCCAACTCCTAAAATTGACGAAGTTACGGCCACCGACGTGGGTGGCCGATCCATCCTGTCGCGGAGTGTATGCAACATCAATTGTAAAACTGCTACTAAAAACATTAAAAAAAAAAATCCCAACCTCAAAGTTCAAATTCTTCCTCATGCACGTCAAAGTGTTGGCTGCCGATATCTTCGATCGCGTACTCGACCGCTTTCTTGAGTTCCTCGGGGCCAGAAACGAAGACGCCAATTGTTTTATTCCCCGCAGCAGACGACGAAGGATGTGCTTTACGGAACGCCCGGTGTTCCATAAAAGCCGACTCGATCAGATCCGGAATGTCCGGACGGCGTCCGACGTCCACGTTGTACTCGGAAATGAGGTTCTGGAAGGTGTGGACATCCGCGGCAATAGACGGGAGACGAGGAGTCTCCACCACGTCGTAATTACGGGTTGTGCTAGTCTTGGGATCGTGCGTCTTCTTGTCCAGAGCCACACTCGTGTACACCGTGATCATCCCCACCGCGATCAAGAGAGAAATCTCGACAAAATTCTGTAGGGGCCACAGATTCTCGTCATCAGCTTGCACCTTATTGCCGTATTTGACGAGTAGCACGACGATAAGGGTCACTAGAAATGACGCACCGAACATCATGACTTTACTCGTACGTGTCCGCAGCGGCTCCGTGAATGGTCTCGGCTTCTTGGACGTGACACTGGCGTCGTATTTCGTAGCCGATACGTGGGGCTTCCCAGCGAGACGTTCACGGTCGATCAGCTCGTTAAGCTGTCCAGTTGTCGGGGCACGCGTGAGGCTGAAGTGGAGACTAAAGTAGCACTGCTGCGGGTCCAGTTCTTTGATCTGCATGAGCACGGGATGGATCTCCTCCAGTAGCGACAACTCTCGGAAGGAGAAGATAAATATGACTTTTTGACGCAGACTTTCGCCCTTCTGTAGCTTAGCTACGATGTCCTCGAGAATGGAGAGTAACGGGGTCACACCGATGCCTCCACCCACGAGACAGACAGTTGAATACTCGTCATACATCTCGAGTGACGCGCCGTAGTAGCCGTCCATGTACATCGTCGGTAGTACGTTGTTCTTCTTGCAGTCTTCGGAATACTTGACCAGCTCCTCCGTCCAGTCACCGAGAGATTTCAGTAGAATCGTCAGTGTATCGGGACTCGTACGTGGGGACGAGGCGATCGTGAAGGCGTGCCACTGTAATTTGGAGATTGTAGGGACATTCAGGTAGACAAATTGCCCTACCTTGAAGTTGCCAGCGGGAGCGGTAGAACGAGACAGAACCACCTTGACCACGTCATGAGACAGCGTCGTGAACTCACGTACAGCCACAGGGGTGAAGCCATTGGAGCTGGAGATAGCGCGACTGACAGTGTACAGCATGACCGAAGGGAAGATCCACGCAAGAACCGGGTTCCAGTGCAACACTGCGAAGATGGTGCCGATCAAGAAGAGGTGGTGGACATTGTAGAACGTGTTGTACATTTTGCGTCGCACCCACGGAATGGAAGTGAGTCCGATGGCCAGGAAGGCCAGTAGAGCGATCTCTCCGAAGAAATTCATCCACGGATCGTGTCCCTCTTTACTGCCAACGTCGCAGTCGAAACAGGGTAGGGCGTTCTCCTTCCACTCTTCTTGTCGGATCCACGACCAGTAGTACCCGAGACAGTGGAACAGAGCCGTCAAGACCGTGACGACTCCGACCCAGCGGTGGTACTTGATACCGTTAGCGTACGAGATGTTGAGGAACTCCATCCAGACGCAGTTCCGCGTCGCTGGGAGGAAGAGGAACGCCATGTTGTAGACACACACGAAGCCCAACGTAAGGGCAACCATCTCGAGGTATAATTCAAAGTTGAACTCGCGACCTCTTTGGCGGTTCTTCTCCACTCGAGCCACATAGTAAAAGTGGAAGACGTACACGTTACCGCCAATCAGGAAGGTCAGGAACAGCAGCTCACCGAGACTCACGCGAGCCACCCAACCGAAGATACTCGGCTTACGACGTAGTAGGCGTGTGAAGCTAAGGAGATAGTTGGACGTGATCCGACGAATGTTAAAGTGTTTCAGTAATTCGAGGAAAACCAGAGACGCCGCGATCGGGAGGAAGCAGAACAGGAAGAAGAAGGTCGGCCGGATCATCTCGCTGTGGCCAATGTCGCTGCCCTTGGGAGCATCGGGAGGAACGCCAAACCACTGTCCGATTGTCTTACTGAGATCCGAATACGTGTCGGTGAAGTAGAAGAGTTGACCGTAAGTGTACGTGACCATGCACCCGACGATCAAAACTTGCAACACATTCCCGAACCATGACGAACGGGTGACTGACGAGGAGGTGGAGAGACGCGGTTCATCCACCACACTGCTGCGTTTGTCTTGGACGTCGGGCGTCTTGAGCGACGAGAATATCGCGTCGACGCGAGGCGTTGATGTCGAGTCTGCGTTTGGTGCCATGGTGGATCCGGATTGAGACCGCTGGGCTTGTGCAGATCAAGGAAAATTGCGGAATGCTCGAGTAGCGAGACTTTGTCATCCAGATTCGCACGGTATACGAAAACGTAGACGGACTATCCGTGTATCGGGAATTGTGGGGCTCAGACATCAAAGCAGAAGCTGGTCAACAGACGGGAGCTTTGTCAACAAAAGCTGGACCTCGGCACACGCCCTCGAACCAATGAAGGCGTGTTATCACAGCGGTAAGCGGCGTTGAGTGTTGACGGGTGGAGCCGTCTCACCAAGAACGAAGCATCGGTTTGTAAAGTGACCACCGGTTTGGATACATGTTCAGGTATTCTGTAAAAACGTCGCTCTCGTGGGCTGTCGTTATCCCACCTTGGCTGCTGACCAGTCGACACACCGTACGAATAGCAAAAATTCCATCATGATGTCGAGATACATGCACACGAACACCTACCCGAAGGTGGTTGAGCTGGTTGCATGTACATCGCCTTCAGGAAGTTGGAGCGAAATTATCGCTGCGGAATGTTTATTTCGACGCTGAAGAAGGGAAATCCTGCCTGTCAACTGGATCTCGGTCCTGATTTCAGCTGCGTTGGGCTCGACGAAACTGTGTCTTGTGTTCAAATCTTGGTCGCGTTTCGTAAAGCCTACATTCCCTCGTGCCCTACGCCAATGGTATTGCCACGAAGTTTGCGACGCACGAGGTTGCCAACCCGGTGGAGGCCAGACACGCTCTGTCCGAGTTGGACACCAACTGGTCGGTTCCGGTCGTGCTGCGGTGGGAATGCTTTAGCACTGTATAGTGCGTGCACCGTACGACCACAAAGATGTTTGTAGCTTGTTTGTTTTGGCTCATGAAGACGTACATCGATCCAAGTGTTGCTGGTAAATTTTGACATGATACGTCCATACAATTTGTAGTAATTTCCAAACGGGTTTCATATAGGTTTGTTAATTTTTCTCAAGCTATAGTGCGAATTATAAATTAAAGAAAATGCTTTGATATATGTTTTATATTACTTCGAAGTAAAACACCTGGGTGATTTTTTTATATAACAACTCTGTCATAAAGTATTTGAAACGACTTTGAGGGGAACTTCGTTGATGTGTCATAGTTATTGTCCAGACGGTCCTTGCGCCTGCAAGCTCATAGTCTTAGACTGATTTTTTAAAATCAAAAATGTGTTCATTAAAAATGCGTAGCTCCAGTGAGTGTGATGCTCGGGTCATACTTAACAGAAAGTGGCGTCCATTACAATTGAGTATTCAAAATAAAGTTAAATAACGGATTCCTTTTGAAAAAAGATTTCAATTAGACGGACGTGGTTTGTCTGTTCCTTTTCTTTCATTTGAATGCAAAAGTCTATTGCTGCTCATAACCAGATGATGCACAGACAATACGAGACCTCTCGTCTCTGGAAGGTATCAAATGCATGTACTTCAAAAGTACATGCAGCTCGCCGCGGTGAAGCGAAGTGAGAATCAAAGGGTTAAACCAAAAAAGTGGATACTTGCGCAAAGTACTTATTAGATTGCCTCACAGCCATTCAGTCAGTTACGTGAAGGATGAATACATGTACACGTACTTGCTTTCGTGCTCGGCATGTATTGTCGTCAACCGCCGTGGGGTCAGCATGGATAGCCACCCGACAGTCGCCAGTCGATTCCCTCGCCTTTCGAAGACAGCGCAGGACCAGTCAATTGACCTTTTCCGACGGCACGGGTTTCACGATCCTGAAGCAATCTCCGGTGCCTCTATTGGTGAAAGCCACACGCTCGTAGACCAAATCTTCAGTGATCCCGGTGGTGCAGAAACCGCGAGAAGATCGCTTTGACCGCCGTCTCTTTCGAGAAGGCACGCGTCTGATTCGCAAAGTTCACGGTAATAGTTACCGTACATGTTGTTGCTTCTATAATAATAGACGCGTGTTGATGCACTCTAACGCTGTTTGCCATTAAGTTATTTGCTCAGTTCTTCACTTTACTACGCTACTACGATTTTCTAATTCTCTATCTATTCTAGCTCACATTGAGCTTGGCGTCGACCTCCAAGTGGCCACCTTCACTAGCTCGGGGTACCCAGAGTTTAAGCGATCCACCGCCAGTACCGGGGAGACCGAGGAATCCAGGCCGCCACCGATCAAGGTACAGCGTCTTTCCTCCCAACTCCTTCACGGTTGATGTCCACGTCACGGTTTTACCGGCCGGGACTTCCTGCTCGTCGAACTTGTCGCCGCCCGAGAGGATATTGACCGTCACGTCTTTCGTGTCGGTACTTGTAAAAGTGATCTTAACGACTCCATCTCCTTTCCGTTTCCAAGACGAGCCACTGTTGGCAAAGGCTTTCCCAACAGTGCGAAGACCGAGAGTGTTGGGGTCGGTACCGTCGTCGATTTCTCCTACGAGCTGCGTTGGGCCGCAGATGACTTGAATGTACTCGGATAACAGACCAGAGATACGCGTAAGATCGATGTAGAAGAGCGTGGCGATCGTCATAAGCACCTTATCAGCCACGACTCGAGTGTACTGTTTGGCAGTGAGAGAAGTACCGTTGTCGCTCTTGCCCTTATCGATCAAGTCGTCCACGATCACGCCGTACGTCTTACGCAACACGTCGCGCGTCTTGTACGCTGTGGCCTCGTCCGATTCCATGATCATCTGGTCCATACAGTTGTTGGTAACTGTCGGGATATCATGCAACATGAGATCTGATCTGTACACCTGGACACGGAGATTATCTTCGGATATCCCGGGGTTCTCCTCCTTCATCTCGGCGATCGTTCGCCACGTGCGATCTGTGAGTCGTTGCAGTTCGTAGCCACACGTCGAATTGGACTCCATACCCTTTTTCAAGGACGAAATCTCCGTGTCGTTCAGGTCGTTCACTGCGTACGTGAAGTTGGACCGGGTAAGAAACGCCTTAAACTTGCCCCAACTTTTGATAATATTGTCCTGACGAGCCAGAGCCTCGCCCAACATGACTTGGATTGTACCCATAGCCACACTGGCCGGGTCGAGGACTTGCCAGTTGTAAGTTCTGCCCATACACATGACGATACTAACCGGTAGGTCGATGGTAACGTAACTTGTCTGGTACAGCGCCAAGAGGATTTTATCCTGCGGTGTCTGAGGATCCGACACTTTAATGGCGCGAATGTAGTTGACGATAGCACGCATCGTGCCAAACATGGCTCGCGCGCACTTAATTCCGACTCGAACGTTCCTTGAGAGCTTGGAGAAGGCTCCAAACACGCCCAAAATCTGAACAGAGAAGAAGGCGTTGGCCACACTCACAAACTTTGCGTAAACTTCCGACCCACAGTCATCATTTTGACGCAAACATTCGAAGCCACATTCTACAGGGTAGGCCATGGGACACTGTGCCCAGCACATTTTCGTGTTGTAGTCGAAGCCGTAAGGACACGTGTCCATGATGAAAGCCTTACGCCAACACGCCTTGTCAAAAGCAGGGTCCGACGGCTTGCCGATGCTGGGGCCAACCCAGTTACGATAGGTGGACACGATCTTGTCTGTGGTATTGGCGGTCGACCCGATCTTGATGTTATCAGGCAAAGCCACTGTGGCCAGCGCATCGGAAGACGACGAGGGGTAATCGTCGTCCGATACGTCGTCTGAGTCGCTGGTATCACTTGTCGATGCGTCCGCGATCTTGGCGTATGAGTTATTTGAGCTCACGTCGTCGGAATCGTCATCGTCTGACGAAGATGAGGGAGATGTCGCCGCCGGTTTTAACGTGCCGGGAGAGTATGTCCGTCCGATCACAACGGACGGCTTGGCTTCGGCCATTGAGGAACAGGAGGCCGCTGCCGCAGTCGCGAAGACCAGCAGCTTGAGCCATCTCCTCATCGTAGTAAATGGATGAAGGAGTCGCGGCACTTGTCGAGAACTCCGCAGAAACGAGAATGGCACTGCATGCTCGACTGGCACAGCGGATCTCGGTGGTTGAGCCCGTCTGTCACTCGACGCCCTGGCCGTGGCCCCCGCTCCTCCTTATGAGCTCCCTTCCAACACATCACGCTGTGTTACAGGCCAAGAAAATTTGATTGTACATTTTTAGAACCCTACCCAATTAGTCTGGTATTTCTAAAATGGGTAGTACACATTTGGTAAATGGTCAGTATCCATTTGGAAGCCTTTTTAGCCAATTACATCGAGTCAAACCAAGGCAAATGGTTTCTATTGGTCAACAACTCAGTGTACCCCGTCAACATTACACCAGTGGCTAACAGACAAGAGCGCAGAGCTACAATGAAATAAAAAAAAAGCTACCGGTGTCACTTGCCATAGATATACCTTTCTAAACAACCCCAAAAACCAGTCTGTTTCCCTGGTTTTCAACAATATCCATTATTTGTCAGGCGAATATTTAGTTGCGAAGATAGAGCATCAGTCCGAGGCTTCTATTCTAAACTGACATTCCTTAACAGAGAAAACTTTTTTGGGGGCACTGCTATAGTATCACATCTTTGAGGTGACCATCAGCTTCATTTCAGGTATTTGAGAACTAGCGTGATGTATTTCACACTTGTGGCTGTGGTGCGCGAGCTTCTCAGAGGTTTCGTGGGACGCCAGATCGTCGGCATCCATTGCTGTCAAAGTGTTAAGTGTTTCCTGACAGAACGGCACTATTTTTTTCTTCAACCGAACTTGTTTGCGTTGAAATGGGTCTGTCGAAAAATTCTAAAAAGGGTATTGGACGTTTTATTTCGGACTACCCGATCGAAACATGCCTGCCCTACCGTACGTGTATCCTACGGCGTGTGGTGCACTGCAAAGCCTTCCAGTTTCCGTATCGATCGATAGCGGGGGTCGTTTCTGTTTGCTGCGAGAACTGTATCGTGCACGTGACCTTGGTAGTGTTGCAATCTCGGCTTGCTAATAAAATATGCTCCAGCTCTAAGACATCTTTGTATGTAAAACCTGCATTCCCTTCTACAGAGGCGCTGATATTACTGTAGTCGTGCAATTGCATGCTTCAGATTAATTTTTGCCTGGTCTCTTCGCCGCCACAGCCGTTCGAACAGAATGACAACCACGGGATTCCGACCTGCTTCTGTCCGAAGGTCGGTACATCAAATACATAGAACTTTTGGAACGTATGCCGACGACGTGCCTCGGACCAATAAGACTTAGCACGCTCCAGATGTCTCGCTAACGCAAGTTGTCGACGAATGCCGCGGACAGGCCGGACGGTAAAGTTAGCGAAACCAGGTAAGCTTTACACTTGTTCGTGCATGCAGCTAACGCTGTCGCAGACTTGCTGAACGACGCACGCTTGGCGAGATTGCAGACCCCCGACGTACGTACATATCGACACATCCTTCGGCCTCCTTATGCACGGCCAGATTCAGCGCAACGCTGCTAAATTTTACAGATAAGCTTTTGTTGACGAGGACTCGCCGTCGGATAGTGGTTGAAATGGCGACTGCGACACGGAATGGTGTTCGGTGGTCGTGTGCTACATGCTACATGTACCTCGTGGCTGTAAAATAAGAATTTTATCCGGGGAAGACCTCTTGATGGCGATATGGAACCTTCACTTGGACTACTGTACACGATGTGGGTTTGTAAGTTGATTTTGTTCCCTCCAACCTCTTCAGAACCAACCAATACCCCTGGTTTAACAGGCTGCCCGCCGCCGAGTTGTACCTACACGATGCTGCATGCTGAAAAATTATCCGACGGCGGTCGTATTGGTTACACAACGAAATACTCATCTTTATAAGTCAGGATTGTACAGCGGACATCCTTAATAGAAGATCTCGTTACAGATTTCAAGTTACATTTAGAATTGCACTGTAGACATCCATAATACGAGGATGAAATGTCCGGCGGCGAACTGTGTACGACGATGGTCGATCACTTTTGCGATGAGGAATCGCAAAAGTTGTATGACTTTATCCGACGGCGCCTTCACTGCTCGTCAGCATCGCAGGTGCTATGATATCATGTGCACAATGGTGACGAGCAAGGCAGCATCCCCCTATGCATGATGTTTGTACTGTACCACATACCTAAATAATCAAAGGGCTGTTGACGCTCTTAGCCGCCGTATACAACTTCAGTTTTGTTAAGATGCCCCGGCGAACATGTAGCCATCAGCGCTGTCGTATACTGATGGAAATGCGCTCACATCATTCACTCTTGTTGTGCATACCTGCTGTGTACTTCCAAATCTAGGCGTTCTAAAACAAACTACTTCTTCAAATATTTGAAAAAAAATCGTCAAATAAATCGTAAACGATATAAAGTATACTTAGTAGACAAAAATGCAGCTTGTCTATAATCGGTCGCGTACGCGATCGCAGATATATGTTTCGGCAGCCGACATTTTTACGTGCATGAGGAAGAATTCGAGCTTTAAGGTTGGAATTTTTTTTTAATGTTGCAGTTTTACAAATATTGTCGTTTTATTCATAACTCAAATTCTTCTTCGTGAATATCAAAGTCACTCGCACCAATCGAAGCCGCTGTTTTAGCTGTTGAGGTCTTCAAACTACCTGGTCCTGACACGAACACCCCAATAGCTCCGGCCCCTGAGCATCTTTGACGATGCCCTGCGTGTAGTTTTCGTAAATGTTGTGTTAGATCTGGTCGGTTGCCAACTCGGACGTGAAAGTCCCCAATCAGATCACGAAATGTCAAAATATCAGGATTAAAAATACGTCCTCGTGATTCTGGTAATAAATTCTCCTTGAGACTCCACTCGTCGACTGGATATTGTGTCCTCACCGTCTTGTAAGCAGCTCGAATGATGCCTATCCAACGCATTACCACAACGCAAATGTAAACGCAGAAAGCAGCAGCAAATAGTGCAAACGTCTTGAGAGAAAGCTGCAGCACCCAAATAATGTCTTGCAGTCCGACCAGCATCCCATTGCCGAGCTGAAACACCGTAACAAGCCCCACGACGAGCCCAAACGCGATAAAATGAAGCATTGAAATCCCGCTGGGGCCAAGTGAAGACCCAAACGGGCACCCTTTCTTCGTTGAATGACTGAAAATTTGGGTCTGGGAGAAGCTGTACGTCGGCAAAAAACCTGAGCACTTGTAGTCACCGTCAAGAGAGGCATCCAATTCATCTGGTCGAGGAGTAGTCGTCAGCGTCACAGTTACCGATATAAAACGTCCTTGAGGGTCTACCTCACGGAGTCGAACCAGTAGTGGATATATTTCCTTCAGTAATTCAAGCTCTCGCATCGTAAAAATTGCAGCAACTCGACGAGGGAAACTTTTCCGTCCATGCACTTGCCGTGTCTCTGCAGTAATGCAGATACCTTCCAGCAAACCGAGCAACGGGGAGATGCCAACGCCGCCACCAATTAGCACCACGGTACTGTATGATTTGTACATTTCCAGAGAGACTCCATAGTAGCCATCCACATACACTTCCGGTTCGATTGAGCACCGCGTACACACTTGCTGGTACACCATAAGCTTCTCCGTCCAATCGCCCAAAGCTTTGATCAGTATCGTCATAGTATTCGAGGACTTGTAAGAAGTTTTTGGTGACGATGCAATAGTGAAGGCGTGCCACTCAAGCCGCGAAATGGCTGGCACGTTTAAGTAGACGAACTGTCCAACTTGATACCTTCCTCTCTCGCTCGGTGTATGAGCGATCACCAATTTACACAACGAAGGAGACAGCGCTGTAAACTCCACAACCTTTACAGAACTAGCGCCATTGCAGTGCGAGAGCACTCTGCTGACAAGATAAACGACAACCGACGGCAGAAGGAACCACACCGCTCGTGACCAATGCAATGTCGTGAAGAGAATTACCAGAAAGAAAAGCTGGTGAACATTGTAGAAGAAATTGTACATTTTGCGTCGAATCCACGGAATGGACGTGACTCCGATCACTAAAAAGCACAAAAGTGCCAGTTCCCCAAATACGTTGACCCAAATCTTCCGTCCCGTACGCTCACGTAGTGAACAATCCCAACAGGGCAACGTCATTTGCTTCCACCTCCCATCCTGCAGCCAGTTGTAGTAGTAACATCCACAGTGAATAATACCCGTCAGTATTGCTGCCACTCCAAGCCATCGATGAAACTTGATACCATTCGCATACGAAATGTTCATAAACTCCATCCAAATATTGTTGCGTGTGGCTGGTATAAAGAGCAACGCCATGTTGAAGAGACAGTTGAATCCCAATGCGTTCCCAGCCATTTTGATGTACGAAGTGCCTGATGGAGGCCCTGGAGGATGTGGAGAAGGCGGGTCACCACTAAATCGTGGTTTGTGTCCATGTTTCTTAGTGAATCCGTACCAAAAGACTAGAGCGTTGCCAGTACTTAGGACGAATAGGAACAGCAGTTCTCCATAGCTGAGACTATCGGGGGACGGCCGACGACGCAGAATTGTAGTAATTCTCCAGATTTTACGCTGTGTACGTAGTCGATAGAGCCACTGGGCCACTGCGACACATAATAATGTTGGTGCTACTCCGACCAGCAGTAGATACGACGGATCGACCATTTCTTCGTGGGACCCCCACCAAGAGGCTACTAGGGACTGGAGGTGGTTCTTGTAGAGTGGAGACACGTACGCAGCTTGGCCACCGATGAAAAGCACGAAACATAACGCCACAAAGAGGTTTAAAGTAGTGACGAGTGCATATCGCCACAGACTTGAAGAGTGACGACGTTGACGGAGACGTGGTGCAGTCTCTACCTCGGGTTCAATCCTGTCCGGTATCAGGTAGGGATTTGCAAACCTTTCAGCGGACATTTAGACGTTGACAAGGAGCGGAAAGCTCCGTAATGAAGCGGTGGTGAGCTCGTAGAGGTCGGAGGTCATCGGAGAGTAATCTGCCGAGCGAGATGCTGATGAGCGGCACGTGGAGGACACGCGCGATGGTCCATGATTGGCTAGTAGGCGTGCATTGCAACTCGTTCTACTGGTACTCTGTTTCGAGAAATTATAATTTTTATTATATTAAAATTAATTGAGTATTAAAATTTTAATTAAATATTTAAAAGAAATAATTTCTTTTGTCCTTCAGCGTTATAGCAGTGTCTTCGTGTTCTGCAATAGAGAACCAAAGAGATGCCATGAATTTACATTTATAATGCATATTGTGTGCTAGGTGCTGTGTCGATATTCGTATATCAATCCAGACTACACTAATATCAACAATTCATTTCTTTAGTTTGTCAGACTTTGTACGAACAATAATAACTGTAAATTCGATCGTTTTTGTATGAATGAAAAGTATGAATTGGACTGTTACGTCTTCATGAAAATGTACATGGAAAGTAAGAACGACTCCTACTGTGTGTAGGTTGACAAGCATGATCAGAGTTCGAACTCTTCCTCGTGGACGTCGAAGTGGTTTGCTCCAATATCCGAGATGGCGCTCTCTGTAGCGCGTTTAAGCGTCTCCGGTCCGGAGATGAAGACGCCCACCGTCGAATTGCCAGCGTCCGGGTGCGTGGAGACGAAGTGTTTGTGGCCGATGTAGACCTTGCGCATGATTTCTTTCATGTTGGGACGATGGCCAACCTCCACTTTATACTCAGCAACGAGGTCGCGGAGAGTGTGGGCGTCACTGGCGTACGGTTGCATCCCACCAGGAGTCAATGACCCCAAATATCCAGCAGACTCGGTCTTCATCTTGTCCTCCGCATAGGTAAACGTATACACTCCCAGCATCGCCACTAAGATCACTAGGACAATCTCCATAAAGTTCTGCAGTGGCCATAGGTTTTCGTTCTCGGCCTGGATCTTGCTGCCGTACCTGACCAGAATCCAGAAAAGGAACGTGAAGAAGAAGACCACAGTGTACATGGCCACTTTGCCGGTACGAGAACGTAGCGGTTCGGTAAACGGTTTCGGTATCTTGGACGTGACGCTCGTGTCGTAGCAAGTGGCTGACACATGAGGATTTCCAGCAAGGCGTTCGTGGTCGATTGGTTGATCGAGCTGGTCGTTGGTGGGGGCACGCGTGAGGTTGAAGTGTAGACTGAAGTGGAGCTGCTGTGGGTCCAGCTCCTTGACCTGCATGAGCAACGGATGGATCTCCTCCAGTAGTGACAACTCGCGAAACGTAAAGACGAAGAATACTTTTTGGTGCAACGGTTGACCCTGTTGCAGCTTGGCTACGATGTCTTCTAGGACGGAGAAGAGAGGCGTGACACCGATGCCCCCACCCACGAGACAGACGGTCGAATACTCGTCATACATCTCGAGTGACGCGCCGTAGTAGCCGTCCATGTAAATCGTCGGTAGTACATTGTTCTTCTTGCAGTCCTCCGAGTAGTTGACGAGATCCTCCGTCCAGTCACCGAGAGATTTCAGTAGAATCGTCAGTGTATCGGGACTTGTACGTGGGGACGAGGCGATCGTGAAGGCGTGCCACTGCAACTTGGAGATTGTAGGGACATTCAGGTACACGAACTGACCGACCTTAAAGTCTCCAGCTCGAGTGGTAGAGCGAGACAGAACCACCTTGACCACGTCATGAGACAGCGTCGTGAACTCACGTACAGCCACAGGGGTGAAGCCATTGGAGCTGGAGATAGCGCGACTGACAGTGTACAGCATGACCGAAGGGAAGATCCACGCAAGAACCGGGTTCCAGTGCAACACTGCGAAGATGGTGCCGATCAAGAAGAGGTGGTGGACGTTGTAGAACGTGTTGTACATTTTGCGTCGTACCCACGGAATGGAAGTGAGTCCGATGGCCAGGAAGGCCAGTAGAGCGATCTCTCCGAAGAAATTCATCCACGGATCGTGTCCCTCTTCACTGCCCACCGCACAATCAAAGCAGGGTAGGGCGTTCTCCTTCCATTCTCCTTGTCTGATCCACGACCAGTAGTACCCGAGACAATGGAACAGAGCCGTCAAGACCGTGACGACTCCGACCCAGCGGTGGTACTTGATGCCGTTAGCGTACGAGATGTTGAGGAACTCCATCCACACGCAGTTCCGCGTCGCTGGGAGGAAGAGGAACGCCATGTTGTAGACACACACGAAGCCCAACGTAAGGGCAACCATCTCGAGGTATAATTCAAAGTTGAATTCGCGATCTCTTTCCCGGTTCCTCTCGACTCGACGCACATAGAAATACTGGAAGACGTACACGTTACCGCCAATCAGGAACACCAGGAACAGAATCTCACCGAGACTGACGGGAGCCACCCGATCGAAGATACTCGGCTTACGACGTAGTAGGCGTGTGAAGGTGAGGATATAGTTGGACGTGATCCGACGAACGTTGAAATGTTTCAGCAATTCGAGCAACACCAGAGACGCCACTATCGGGAGGAAGCAGAACAGGAAGAAGAAGGTCGGACGGATCATCTCATAGTGGCCTCCAGCGTCTCTACCACCGCCGGCAGGGACGCCATACCACGTGCCAATGTTCGAACTCACCGTCTTGGTGTATGCGTCCGAGTAGTAGAAGATCTGGCCGTACGCGTACAAGAACATTGAGACCAAGATGACGAACTGGGCAGCATTGCCAAGGTAACCGTAATGACGAGTCCATGTCGAGGGCCCGAACTTGCGAGAAAAACCGAGACTCTCATGCTTGTCCTGGAGATTGTCTGGGGTGGCCAGGTGGGTGAACTCCGACTCCGGACGAGGAGTCATTGCGCTGCTTGGAGCCATGGTGAACTCGGTTAAAGGGACAGGAGGTGCAGCTACCGATAGTCGCTCGAGCTGTGCACTTGAGAGGAAGTCGGGGAATGAGAACAGGTCTCGTATTGGTGTGGGGCGATCGGAGTTTTACTATTTCATTTTAGTGGTGCCGTGGAAACGCCAGAGCTAAAGCGGCAAGTAAACGATACACGGGCGTGGGGTGAAGATCTCGAAGGGCTCATTCACTCGAAACAAAAGGAACACGCGTCCCCGTCGGTTTGCAACGCGCACACCCAGAAGCTTTTCGTTATACTCTGCGGTGGGCTCGGCCGTTGAAAGCATGCGGCGTCGGCCTATTGTTGAATTATACTGAGCCGGAGCGTGCGCCCTCGAGCCAATGGCAAGTGCCTGTAACGATTGTCCATCGGTACCGACCCACACCATCCAGTCAAATGTACTATGATTCACCACTTCATAGTATGAAGTGGTGATCGCTTGTGCGATAGAGAAAGATTCATGCTGTTTCAAAGAAGCTTTTTTTCGCTCTACAAAATATTGTCAAAATTGGTGAAACCGTTTCTTGCATGAGCAAAAGATCTCTTCGTGATGGGCACAGGATCCGTTTGGGTGTGCACCTCCTCGTCGAGACGACATGCACTTGTTGGTTTCGGAATAGTTCAACGCGGGCTTATTTGTCAGAGCGTCGTACAATATGTGGCCACACCGCAAATTTTTGGAGATGCGATTGTTGACAGCTACTCGTCTCCACCAGCGCTGTCTTGCTCGAGCCGAACAAATTAATTTTTAATCAGTTGTACGAAAGTAAAACGTAGAGCATCTCCACCGGTTGAGCTAAAAGCGATCTACTAAATCAGCTGGGTTTACCCACCCTTTCTGACTATTTGCTAGCCAAAGCTTCAACTATCTCGCTCAAGCGCATTCATGGTTAACTTTCCTATCCAATGGAGATCGTTAAAATACCATGAATGGCACACCCTTATCACGAAGCAAACAATTGCTTGACTACCTCTACCAGAATTATCAGAATCAGTTGCACAATATGCCCTGCCACGTAAACTCCAGTCAAGTATGACAAGCTTTTAGCTAAGTCGAGGCCGAAGCGGCGATTTGACTGCTACCGGTAGGGAACAATCTCTGACTGAAATCGTGAGTCACGATTCGTGACGACCCCCACTGGTGGAGATGCCCTTATCTTATCAAGTTTGACAATTAAAATGTTACCTGTTTTCACTATTGGCTAAAACTTCGACGTAGCCAATGAGTCGGGCGACTCGATACTGCGGTGACAAACAAACTTCAGCGGTTACGGATTAAAAGCTGGGTGAACGAATGACTTCCTCTTGTAGCCTCTAAATCGGATGACTTTGGTGTGTTTTTAAATCTCACGGCCGAATCTCAAGTGCGAGTGAATACTGGATACTGATAGAGTACTCATGGCAACAAGTAAATAGGATAGAGACAAGGGTTCCAAATCTACCTGACAGTCAAGTTTAAAATCAAATCTAATTACTCAATACTAGGAGTATTATATGTTATATCTCGATTGTATACTTGTATACACCAGGAAATCATCCTTTTTTAATGGGCGAATCTGGGTAGCCATCCGTTTTCACTGTACATTTGGTGGTCATCTCTTTTGCACTAGGTTTTAATCTTTCTCAACTTCAGCCTGAGATTTTGCGAGCGGGTGGTTCTTTGCTAACGAAACGATAGTCGCACGACGGCGATTCCTTTGTCTGATTAATCTCAGTCGAAGTCCTCTCTAAGGTTCTCACCATACTGAATAAGCGTATTCTGTTTGCCCCAATCCTTACAATGTAATGAATGTGTTCAGTATCGGGAGGCCAAGACTGACTCCAAGCTGAAACGGCTGCGTTTTCTATAGTCACACATATACAGTATAACGACCAACAAACGGTTGGCAGTGATGACAAATTCATTGGTTGGTGGCACGTGCACAATCGACCACTCGCACCGACCACCAAAACCGAAAGGACAGTCTCAGATTGTTGTGTGTGTGTTCATGAAAGTCAAGCCCGCAAACAATAGACCGGGTGTTTGTGTGAGATCAACACACCCAGGAAGGCCACCAAACAACAATATTTTAAGCAAAGCCTACAGCACGCTGAGGTATCTTTTGTCAAATAGGGGTTATCTGACCCACCAGTAGCGTGTTCGGCTAATGGAGAGCCACATTACCACGGAATTTGGAAAACAAAGGAATCTCACAGCATCGTAATGGAAAATATTCAATAGCTGAAAAGGTGTCTCTGTAGAAGACACAACGTTCGGTCCGCATCGAATCCGGAATACGAGATAACCTTCTCGGTATGATTGTGTTGAGAACAGAAAGGCATACAGGAGCGAACAGAACGCGATGATATTTTATGAAACGAACAAGCAAAGTACTGATAAGACCGTAATTCCATCGATCTACGATAAGGGCACGACAAGGTAATGAATGACCTCATGCAAAAGCGTCAAGTTTGGGCCAAAATAACTCCGCAAAGATAAAATTGAACCAGCCACATCAGGTCAGAATATAAAGGGAGAAAATGGGTTTCGCCCGCGTCTTGGATCTCTGCGTTTTAAATGCGCAACAGAGGTCCATGTTTATTTGCTGGAATTCGACCTGATGCGCTCGACTTAGCTTGTCGTGGATCGATTACAATTCACGGTTCAGATTTTACTAACAGGAGGGTCAGCAAATAATCTTCCGGGTAGCCAAGTGGAGATAAAGTCCTGGCCATAAATTTTCGGACACCAGAAAAATCACAATAACTTTGGCTGTAGATCCAACTAGCGCTTGCTATTTAGATATTAGTAGCCAATCAGAATAACAAATAGCGGGCATGTGTAAACATTTGCGAATTCGAAGGCCTTCGATGGTCTCCCGTACAGCTTAATGTTTTTCGTAGTTGGTCAAAATTGTTCGAACAAAAGGGCATACTTTATTTCATATTAAAGAATGATTGTCAGCATGACTAGAACATAGCTAGCCTAGTAGCTCGTCTTGTTTCCACGACGCTCGATAACTTCAATGCATCGGCGAGGCATTGAGGAGATCACGGACTTCAGTGTTTTATGCGGAATTTTGGCCGAGATGGCCATGGTGAGCTTTTGTGACGTGTTGAACTGATGACCGTCTTGACAGGCCTCCTGTGATAAAATAGCTCAGAGGTTCTCAATAGGATGAAGACCTGGAGACCTCGCAGGCCAATTCATCACTTCTATTTGCATTTTTTCAAAGAAAGCGCGAATTTCGTGAGAAGCGTGAATACTCGCGTTGTCTTGCTGAAAAACAATGTCAATGTCATGGTGCAGGTGTGCAAAGGGTAACAGGAATTCAGATAACATGTAGACGTAATTAGCAGAATTCTGCTTACCCACCAGCACCGCAATCTCACTCTTCCCCTCGATATTAAATGGTGCCCATACCATCGCAATCTCACGCTCCCCCTCGATACTAAATGGTGCCCATACCATCACTGCCCCCCCCCAACCCTGCTGACTCTTGACATACTTCGGGCCGGGTGACGCACGTCACGCCAGTCAAGGTTAATTTTTTCTCGTCGCTGAAGACGATGTCAGTCCAGTCGCGGCTTTCACCCAGTCCAGTCGGACTGCTTTGGGAGCAGGAGACAAGTCTAGCGTGCTCTCCATTTTTGTGCATACTACATAGTCATCACGGGAAAGAAACCACCGAAGGCTGCGAGCCGATGCCTTAGTCTCGGTGCGGGACTTGAGTTGCGCAGATGCCACTTGTCCCATTGGGAAGTGAGGTCATTGGGGCCGCACCTAGCCACGCTTACATGTAGTTCCCAATCAATCAATCACACAATCATTCTTTAAAATGAAATAAAGTATGCCCTTTTGTCCGAACAATTTTGACCAACTACGAAAAACATTAAGCTGTACGGCAGGCCATCGAAGGCCTTCGAATTCGCAAATGTTTACACATGCCCGCTATTTGTTATTCTGATTGGCTACTAACCCTTTCGTGAACGGGTACTTTTGACCTGGCTATATTATATTATAGAAGGTCAAGTCATTAGGCCATCAAAGGGGGCATTTTGCCCCCTTTCATGAACTACGGTACTACAGCAAATCTGCTGCAAATACTTGTAGTTCAAGTAGAAAGGGAAAATCCGCTCCGTCCACCACACAAAACATAATGAAAGGGGGCATTTTGCCCTCTTTCGTGGGTGACACGAGTGGCACTCGAGGATACACCCTCCTAAGGGGGCAAAATGCCCCATTAACCACGAAGGGGATATCTAAATAGCAAGCGCTAATTGGATCTACAGCCAAAGTTATTGTAATTTTTCTGGTGTCCGAAAATTTATGGCCAGGACTTTATGCGTTTGAAAGATTGTGAGGTCAATTATTCTTCATATTTCACGCTTTTTGTTTAACTCGATTGGCACGAGATAATTAGACCAGATCATCAGGGGGACTCTCAGAGTGCTTCTGCCACGATTGTTAAAGCTAATCAAACTCGTTGGTCTAATGAAGCCTTTATGATCATAAAATTGAACTAATGCCGTGCTAGCACGGTGAAGCTCTGGATTCCACTCGTGTCACCCACGAAAGAGGGCAAAATGCCCCCTTTCATTATGTTTTGTGTGGTGGACGGAGCGGATTTTCCCTTTCTACTTGAACTACAAGTATTTGCCGCAGATTTGCTGATAAGTGCATGGCTTGTACCAGAAACTTTAGATTTTTATTTTTAATTTTTGTCTAAACCATTTTTTTAAGTTGTACATGTATTAAATATTGTTTTACTAATACTTAATTTTTTTAACTTAATGGTTTTACGTGTAATTCCAAATGCATCTTGACATATAAAAAAATAATTTGGTCAAAACCTAGTAAGATTACAACTTATTGGGTTAGTGGGGATCTGCATCTGCTGCAAACACAAGCGAGTTTACTACCCCCAGTTCCTCATTCGCTGCTTGCGACAAGCTCTCATTTAAGAACGACGTTGCCAGAAATACTGACGAGGATACATTCAGCTCCTGCACATCTTGCACCCACTGCTTCCATTGCTTCGGCCACAGGCTGCTACATGTCCCCGGTCATGGTCCAAGCGCGGGTAATACAGATCTTCTCAAGCCAAACCTGCGACCACAGCTGCAACACCCAAAGACCGATAAACTACCATCTATACGCTCTTGATCTATCTCTCTATGCAGATCCTGACACTTAGCCTTCTCCATCGCACGTCGCACAACCAGCTTTTTCACAAAATGCCGCTCCAGTTCCTGCTTACACCATAGTAGCCAAAATAGCAGTCCGTGACGCTATAGCACTAAGGGTAAGGTTTTAATAAACAGGTCACCTGCAGATCTTGCCCCACGTAGGTCGTACAGGCGCCGAGAATCGCCCAACCGCCTCCGCAGCGATGGGTATGCTGCGGAAAGCTCCAGTCACGTCTCCAGTGGACATCCAGACCTTTCCAGGGTGTTGTTCGCTAAATTGGATAGCTCACTTTGCTAATACGGCGGCTCCATCATACGTAACAACAACAGAACTTGCCTCTTGAACTTGATCGTTAACAGAAGCCCCTTTGGGTGCGATAAATCATGGATGCCTCTGGCGTCCAGAGTCCAATCGGCTTCCGCTTTTTGACTGCTCCAAAAGGACTGCATGCTATGCCGTCAAGTGAAGGTAATAAGTCGATGTCGAGAATCAAATAGCGATCCGAATCATGCCCTTTTCTGAGACTTTTGATAACTGCATTTAATGCACGTCGAGCCGCACCGTGGTTTGGAGGAGGCTTTGATTGGAATGGAAATTCAGATCTCCGTGTAGGTCTTACTCCGTGGGTCACAATAGCGCTCCATTGGTCTTTGTACTTATAATGACTCCAACATGGAAGATGATCGGGCATCGTCAGTGCTTTATTGGGACGCGGGTCGTGCTGTGATTCTCCCCCGAACCAGCCGAATAAAGTCTGGCAGTGATAAGTTTAATCTTCGAAGGAGCTCACTATAGTAGCACTGCTTGGCCCAATCAATCTGATACAGCTTCTTGCCGTCTTCCAACACGTACGGAGGATGCGCTTCCGGGGTAGTCAATCCGTATTGAGTCAAAGCAGCTCTTAGTGTATTGCGGCCCGTTTCGAGATCCAAACTTAAAAGTCGTTCCCAAGCTAGCTGGGAAGCAGTACAGTGACGTTGAAGCTGCCGGACAAAACCTTGAAGTCCTGGATGATTTTGACAAGATTGTGTCAACAAGGGATGGTAAAACTGACGAAATCTTGTGTTGGCACTCTCCGGGCCGTTCATATTCCGAGTTATGCCATCCAGCGATGCACTAAATACAGGTTTGGAGCTCTCACCCGGGGAACGAGCAGATTGCCGGGTCAGGACATCACTGTAAATAACATTTTCAGGTTGAAGCTTCCCACCGCCAGAAACATTTCCTTGGCTTTGGACTATACTTGCAGAGCACCGTTTTACTTGCCCACTTAAGGAGCTTACTACCTGCCTGCGATGGGGTCGCAGCGGCACATCAACACTGCTAGAGGATGTACTATCTACATTTGGGCTATTTACCTGCCTGCAACTCGTTTGCAGCGGTGTAAGTGTCCTAATGATGGATGAGGGTTCCCCATTCAGGACCTCTACCTGCCTGTGTAGAATACGCAGCGTCGTCAGAATGCCCCCAACGGATTGAAAATCCGACACAGGGTTATTTACCTGCCTGCAAATGACTTGCAGCGGCTAAATATCACTTTGCTCGATTCGTGAGTCGGTGAAACACCAAACAAGTGCTTCGACAAGCTGGTGGAGGCTTTTCAGGCGGCCTGAAGGAGGATGCATCCCTTTCCACTTCATGGCACCCTCATAAAGAGGGATCTTCTTTCTCCTCCACGGACTGAGACGCCCGTAAGCCTCTATACGCCTTATCTATAAACTTTGCCACGACGCTCGGCAGCTTTGCAGGTACGAAATGACCACGATAGTCATAGGTACAAGTATCCCCTTCACCTGGACATTTGATACATAACCGCTTGCCTCGACGCACAGGCAGGGCGGCAATGACAGCGGATGGGGGAATGGGTATTGTCTTCGCTGGTCGTTTTCCTCGTGCTTTCTCATTGAAGTGCTGCCCACTTCTCCTGTGTTTCGGAGGTGGCTGTTTTGGTGTAGACGTCTTGAGAGCGGCACTGACTTGCAAACTAGTAACCCGATGAACTACTCGGGCATACGATTCGTGGTTAAACTGGAAATGATTCTTGATATGAGCAG